TATATATATATATATATATATATATATATATATATATATATGGCCTAATCAAATGAGAACTAAATAATTTATGGTAACTGTGAGGTCTAATCTCAACCACAAATCAACGGATAAATTAGAAAATTAATAATTATGGTAGTTCGAGTTAAAATTATAATTAGAGGGCATATTAGGTATTTTTAAAAAATTCATCTCTCCTCTCTCATCTCTCCGACCTCCAATCTCCGGTGAAATCGGTATCACAGTATATCACAATGGGTGTCACATTATGTATCTTTGTTTTTAAGATTTGAGTTGGTATCATAGTTGGTATCACAATGGTATTACAGTATATCACAATGGGTATCACATTGTGTATCTTTGTGATTACTTGGTACCTGCCGGATTAATGTTCACCGGAGGCCAAAGATTGGAGGTCGGAGAGATGAGAGAAGAGTTTTTTAAAAATATCTAATATGTCCTCTAATTATAATTTAAACTCAAACTACCATAATTATTAATTTCCTAATTTATCCGTTGATTTGTGATTGAGATTGAATCTCACAGTTATCACAAACTAATCAGTTCTCCCTTGAATGGGCCTATATATATATATATATATATATATATATGTGTGTGTGTGTGTGTGTTTGATTTCTTTTTAGATCTTGTCCAGTGTAATTTAGATCCCTCTTTGTACATACAAACATAGTTATAAAATGTTTCCTTGACTATTTGTATGCTACTTGTATTTAAATCGATCCTCCGAAACGGAGTGTTGTTTCTTTTGTGGCAAAGTAGTGTATTCATCCCCTTTTCGCAATTTGTAGAGTTATAATTTGTTATTTAGCGTCACCGAACTTATGAATCATACATTGTGATGTTCTTGAAATGTTAAGTTACATGTAAATGTCGGGAGAATCAGAAACCAAAATACAAACATGGGAAGAATGTGGATGTGAAGGTTTATATCGTGAGTCGCATGTAACATGTCTGCATGCTTTTACTAGTCAACATTCAATTCATTGCAAACACAAGAAACGTTACCACATATTTACCACATTTTTAGGCTAAATCTTTTTAGTTTATACATCAAATAAATATGAGACATCCATACTAAGTGCATAAATTAAATGAGGTTGAATATATATATATATAGGTCTAATCAAATGAGAACTGATTAGTTTGTGATAATTGTGAGGTTCAATCTCAACCATAAATCAACGGATAAATTAGAAAATTAATAATTATGGTAGTTTGAGTTTAAATTATAATTAGAGGGCATATTAGGTATTTTTAAAAAACTCCTCTCTCCTCTTTCATCTCTCCGACCTCCAATTTATGGCCTCTGGTGAACATTAATCTGGCAGGTATCACAATATATTACAATGGGTATCACATTGTGTATCTTTGTTTTTAAGGTTTGAGTTGGTATCACAGTTGGTATCACAATGGTATCACAATATATCACAATGGATATTACATTGTGTATATTTGTGATTACTTGGTACATGCCGGATTAATATTCACCGGAGATTAGAGGTCGGAGAGATGAGAGAGGAGAGATGAGTTTTTAAAAAATACCTAAAATGCCCTTTAATTATAATTTTAACTCAAACTGCCGTAATTATTAATTTCCTAATTTATCCGTTGATTTGTGGTTGAGATTGGATCTCACAGTTACCACAAACTAATCAGTTCTCTCTTGAATGGGCCCATATATATATATATATATATACATATATATATATGGGACTAATTAAATGAGAATCATAAAATGATATAAAACGGTCATAACTAATATTCATGTGTAATTATTTTCAATGTCTATTTTTTTCTCTCTCCGGCCACCGTCCTCCGGCCACCGTCCTCCGGTGATACTACAATGGTATCACAATGCATCATATATGTACTTGGGTATCACATTGATGTCGTTTGTGTGGTCGATCGAAGATGTAACATAGTGGTATCACTATGCATATTATATATGATTAGGTATCACAATGTATCTTTTGTTTAACATAGTCAATATTTGTAGGTATCACAGTGGKRTCAYAGTGGTATCACCGGAGGACGGTGGCCGGAGGCCGGAGGACGGTGGCCGGAGGACGGTGGCCGGAGGCCGGAGAACGGTGGCCGGAGAGAGAAGAGAGTTTTAAAATACCAAAAATATTCTTGCATTAAGATTTTAATTTAAAATTACCAAATTTATAAATTTCATAATTTTATCTATTGATTTGTGGTTAATATTGGTTCTCACAGTTACCACAAACAACTTAGTTCTCTCTTGAATAGATCCATATATATATATATATATATATATATATATATTTGCGATCATGTGAGACCAAATTGTTTTCGTGAAACTCGTGAGACCACCTAAATAATACTGAACCTTTATAGCAAAATATTGTGAAGGTAAACTTTCACAGTGTTTTTGCTGTGTAAGTTCAAAGTTTTTTTACCTTCTCAATATTTTACTGTAAAGTTTCTATATTATTTTATAGTTTCATGTCTCACGAAAATAGACTGATCTCACATAAACTTAACTCTATATATATCGAATCCGAACATTCACGGTAGCTTTGGATGTTGTCGGTGGGTGCTTCTTGTTTACTTTTTCTATTGATTTTCTTGTTCTTGTGCGTAAGTTCTAAAATTGAACATGAAAACATGTTCAGAATGCAAGTTGTAATAAGATTCTTCTATCAGCCTCCAACCTTAGTTAAAGACGTATTGAAGTCGATTAAACATATTC